CAGGGTCAGCTTCAAGGGTAATGCAAAAGAAATGGTGGTAGCTACCGGTAACTGTTCAATAATCTAGGCGGAAAGTCACGACATAAGGTGGCTTTTATTATCTAGATGGAATCTTTTCCAGTAATAGGAATACAAGTAGCTTCTGAATTGTGAATTTAGTAAGAGAGAAGATTGAATACATCCCTGATTTGTTCTTCAAATCTTAAAAAGATGTTAAAATTGCTTTAATTTAGGAAAGGCTGAACGTATTTTATAAAGAAAGAATGATAATTGTTCACATAGTGGCAGATAGACATGTATAGTTTTGAAATGTCCACTGGGTGTCACTGTTGCTTCTTGCTTTCAAAGGCATATTTACCTTTACCAAAACTCAACACAGAATTTCAGTCATTCATTTTTCTTAACCGCCAGTAAAAAAAAAAAAAACTCCTTTGAACTGAGCTCAACTCCCAGCAACTTCATGGGACGGCAGTAGGCGACAGAAGAGCCCTTGCAACCTTGCAAAGTAGGACAGGTTCTGTCGTATATTTCAGAGGTAGATTCACTTATATCATTAATGAAAAAAGAGACTATTTGTAGCTCAGGATTCAACTGTGGAATTCTTGGTGCCCTCTGAGCTTGATAGTTTTCTTGAAAATATTTCATTATACAATGAGGTAACATCAACACTGCTGACTAGAAAGAACTTCATACTACAGAAGTGATCCTTAACTTATGACCATTCAGTTAGCAAACACTTGGAAGTTATAATGGGGTAAAAAAAATGACTTATGACTGGTCCTTGCAGTCCATTGCAGCATGCCTGTGTGGTCACATGATCATAAGTTGGGTGCTTGGAAACTGGCATGTATGTATGGGTCACTGTTCTGACCCCCTCCCCAGCCTGTGACTACACTAGAACAGTGGTCTCCAAACTTGGCAACTTTAAGACCTGTGGACTTCAACTCCCAACTCTGGGAGTTGAAGTCCACAAGTCTTAAAGTTGCCAAGGTTGGAGACCACTGCATTAGAACACAGGCTTGGCTGTTTGCCACTGCTCAATTACTGAGATAATGAATCCTTTGGCTGAGGGCCCAGGCAACTCACGTTCAATCCAATATCTCTGCAGCAACCCAGATAATCCAAACGAAGCAACCCAGAGAGTCCAAACGAACAGACACGTCTAGAATACATGGATAGATTTTATTACCTACTAATTCGAATGGTTGTTTCCTGCAAATGTCCCCTCCCAACGCCTCACCTATAATCACTCTTGGGAGGGGCCAATCAACAACCATCTGTGCTTAATTCTGTGAGTCTGCCTACGGAGTTGCTGCTTCCGTTTCTCAGCCTGTCTCAACCTAGCATCAGAGATAAACTTCCTTTGATCCTCCCAACTGCTCCATGCCTCAGGTGCCTCCTGGTGGCCAACCAGCCTCTCTGGTCCCTGCTCTGAGTCTGAACCGTGCCCAGGGTCCTCCACATCTTCCATGGCAGACTCATAGGTTTCCTCGCTATCCGAATCCATCAGCAGCTCAACCGGATCCTGCTGGGCCACAACAGGTCACCATTTGCAACATTCCCAGCTGGCTTCAAGCAAGTAAAATTAATGGGGAAAGCTGGATGCACTTAATCAGTTTAGTGACCCTGGAATATTAAATTTCAGTTGGAAAATGTCTGTTGGGAGTTCTAAATGGGCGGGGTGACTTTGAACCAGTCACTCCCTCTCAACCCAACTCACCTCACAGAGTTGGTGTGTGGGGAACAAGAGGAATATTAGCTATATTCTCCTCCTTGAGTTATTTATAAACAATAAAGGTGGGATTAAAAAAACCCAAAGAAATAAAAGAAATAAAACTAAGGTGGAGAAAAGGTGGCACTGTGAGTGGGGAGAAAAAAGCTGTATTTGAGCTTTAGAATATCCTATTCTAAAAAGGATCTTTTCAATGTTCCAAGTGACACATCCGCCAAAAGCATAACTCCGAGACAGGTAGATTCCTCAAAGAATACGTTTATTAGATATATCATATTGGCACAGCTAATGAAAACCAACTCTAAAAGTTTCTGTGGTTTTATCCTAATTAAAAGGGCAATGTTTCCCTCCCGAGATGTCACTGGTCACATTGTCCAATGAAAGTAGCTGGCAGGCTGCTTGGTAACTCCTCTCTCCCTTCAACTACAACCTGCTGGGATGACCTTGGTTCCTACAAGAAAACTTTTGGTTTTGACTGTTAGCCAATCGTAATTCGTAATTCGTAATTTAATGAGCTTATATGCCGCCCAATCCCGTAGGACTCCAAGCGGCTTACAAATACGAGATAAAATAAAAATAACAAATAGAGGAGAGAAAACGAAAAACAGTTTAAAAAATACAACATACATTCGGCTTAGCTGGGGGCTGGACCTAATTTATAGATCAACAGCCCCAGGCCTGCTGGAACAGCCTATCCATTTCCCCCTCCCTTCCCACTTTCAGACTTCATGGCAACTATGATGCAGCAAAAGATGGCTTCAGCCAGGCTCGCTTCAGAGTTGACAGTCCTGATATGGCTGACTGGAACCTTAAGTAGGTGAAGTAGAGAGATTCCAGCTTTCTAAACTTTGGTGAACCTATGTTTGGGTGGACTTCAGTTCCTAAAATTCTAACAGTAGCTATGTGTTACCTGGTGAAATTGGGAAGTCAAAATTCACATATATGGGGAAGGTGCGGGCACTGTGATTGGCCAAGACAAACGTACAATGTTCCTTGTTCATCTGATAATACAATTGGCTAGCTAGCAATTTGGAATCAAAGGCAAGATACCGGTAATAGTTTATGCACACTTAAGGAACATTATGGGAAACCAACAGTATGTTAATTTATAAACGGTAAAGTGAATACCTAAATATGCCATATTTTTCAGAGTATAAGATGCACATCCCCCCCAAAAAAAAGAGGGTGAAAATATGAGTGCGTCTTATACACTGAATGTAGCCCCACCTACCCACTGGCTCCAACCCTTTGGCCTTTGCCTCCAATTTACCTCTTTGCCGCAAACGGGGATTGCAGAGGCCTCGCCTCAATAAGCTACAGCAATCCCTGCAGCCTGTAACAGCTAATGATCGGGAGAAATTGAAAGTGAAACTTGCTGTTAGCTCCAGGTGGCAAATTGCTGGGAGGCAGATATGTTTTTTCTTGTGCTAATCAGGCTGTTTGCTGCAAGGAGGTAAGTCAACAACTATAAATGCCTATAGAATGTTCAAATTATTAGACTTATTTTTTAAAGACTGCTTTATTATTATTCTAGACAACTTAATAAAATGAAGAAGCTTTTTAAAATAAATGCTTGATCTGAAAAGCCCCCGTGCTATTGTTTTAAAAAGTGCTATTCTTTTAAATAGCAGAGAATAACTATACTTCCAGAAAGCACATCAATTTTAACAGCATCTGTACAAGTATGGTCTGAAATATAACACTACAAACAGTGTATATTGTCTCTACTGTTTGTTGCAAGGAGGCAAATTGCTGAGAGGCAGAGGCAGATATTTTCCCCTTGTTTTCCTCCCCAAAATCTAGGTGCGTCTTATACTTTGGAGTGTCTTATACTCCGAAAAATATGGTAAATCCAGTCCATTTAAATTCTGCACTCCAGAAAATTTTTAGAAACACCAGTTGGATGGAGAAAGAAAGAAAGAAACAGAGTAGAGAAAAAACTGGATTGCATGAATGTCTGAAAAATTTAGGTATATTAGAAGACAAAGATGTCTATAAACAACATTTGGGAAAATGATGGTTATTTTACCTAAGTAATAATAATCCGAGGGACGTGGTGACTCAATGGCTAAGACACTGAGCTTGTCGATCAGAAGGTTGGCAGTTTGGCGGTTCCAATCCCTAATGCCATTTAACAGAGTGAGCTCCCATTACTTGTCCCAGCTTCTGCCAACCTAGCAGTTTGAAAGCATGTAAAAATGCAAGTAGAAAAATAGGAACCACTTCGATGGGAAGGTAACAGTGTTCCATGCACCTTTGGCGTTGAGTCATGCTGGCCACATGACTACGGAGACATCTTCGGACAGCGCTGGCTCTTTGGCTTTGAAACAGAGATGAGCACCACCCCCTAGAGTTGGAAACGACTAGCACATATTTGCGAGTGGAACTTTTCCTTTTAATCATAATAAGTGATGCTATTGATAAAAGTATTAATATATTCTATTGGAGATGGTTACAATTTTTTTTTTAAAAAAGTACCCTTCCCCTCCTATACAAGGTGGCATTTTCATAAATGCCACAGTGACATCTGTGTTGCTACAGTTAAATGTCAGGCTAGTTTTGAAAGCTTCCTTCACAGTTAGCAAAGGAAGCACATTTTGAGACAGCTTAGTTTTCAGTGGAGTCTTTCAGTTCCTCTGCTGGCAAAGAAAAGTTGCCATCTTTTGTCCAGGTCAGACTTTATGAATTTAGTTAGTTTGAAGGACAAGCTATACGTGTATTATATTTACTGAACACTCATCTTATTCCAAGATCTGGAGTATGTTATTTTTAGAACGTAAGGAAGGTTGGCTTCATTGACTGGCAAAAAGAGTGCAGAGGAATTTTTTTTCTCGGGATGGGGAGGGAGAGGGAGACTGGAAAATGATCTTTTGGCGAAAGCCTCTTTTGTTTTAGAACAACTGCTTTAGAACAAATGAGGATGGGCTTTTCCCTCCTTATCTATTTGGGAAGCAGAGAAGACCCTGACCCTTTTCAACCGCGTTTTGAGCTGGAGAGCACAACTTATTTGAAAGTAGCCAGGGATGAAACAATTTCTAGTTTTAGGGCCGTGTGTTTCCATTCCCATCCCACTCTGGGGTCAGCCGAGGTAGCATTTGCCGGTTCTCTGAACTATTCAAAATTTCCGCTACCAGTTCTCCAGAACCTGTCAGAGCCTGCTGGATTTCAGCCCCTGCTTGAACCCCACCTGAAAGGGTTCAGGTAAGCCACTTCCTCCCAGCTCCTTTGGAGAAAGAACTAGGATTTCCATTTCTCTTTTGCTTCACAGAAAGAATAGTCGAAGACCATGAAATGATTGTTGAAGTCCATTCAAAGTGGGGAATTGAAGAAGACAATAAATTTTATTTCCGGAAAAATTACGCCAAATACGAATTCTTTAAGGCCCCCGAGGTACGTTCTTAATGCATAATATGTTTATAATGTAGGTAAATACCTCAGATTTAATATTCAGCATAATTCTTCATAGTTACAGGAACTCATCAGCTATGTGAAGTCTAGTAACAAAAATCTTCGGGGGATATACCCTTCTCCCTTTGATTCAAAGAACTGACAGTTCAGCCTCGGGTTGTTGGTTGTTTTTTTTACTACAGTCCAGCAAGATAAAGTTGTAGAGCCGAGTGAGGAATTATTCACCACTAGCCAAACTACCTAAAGCAGAGGTAGGGAACGATGTTACCTTTATGACTTGTGGACTTCAACTCCCAGAATTCCTGATCCAGCCAGGAACTCTGGGAGTTGAAGTCCACAAGCCATTTAAGGGCCATTGTTCCCCAAACCTGACCTTTAAGTGACATATGTTCCTCATGTCCCCACCCAGTAAAAAGACTGGCATTATAGGAGGAGGTCATTTTCTTGGTTCTTTGTGCCCATCTACTGAAAAAAAATCCAAAGCTTTGCAAATAGGCTTGCAAAACCTGGCTTGCTCCATATTCCTCAGCTACACCCAATGTATGAATAGAGCTTGAAGGTTATGGTGGCAGTCAAAAATCTCTTGCTGAGAGGCAATTGACTGCACATTGTTTTATCTACAGACAAAAGTGACAAATGGGTTTCCTTCTGGGCTCTTTTCAATTATTACAAGCTGTGAGCTGTGTACATTATAAGAGTCTTCCACAACATGCCATTTTCCAATTGTGCTGGAGCACATCTGGAAATCACTCGGAAGTACTACAAGTAGCTCTCGCTTAATAACTGCCCTGTTTAGTAACCACTTGATGTTACGACAGCCTTGTAAAGGTAACTTTGCGATAAGTCCTTGCATTAGTGTCATGTGGCCATTCAATTGCCATTTGCACACTTCACGGCTGATTTCCGACAATCAGAGCCAGCGGAGGAGTCAACTGTAAAATTGCATGTTGCGATCACATGGTGTCTCACTTAATGATCATGAGTGGTTCACTTAACAGCTACAGAGAAATCCCATTGCAGTCACGTGTCTTGCTTAATGACCACATTTTTTAGTGACAGATTACTGGTTTCAATTGTGGTGGTTGTGTTAGGACCACCTGTACTTGAGTCCATAGAAAATTTACTTGGCCATGGAATTCTGACAGGCAGCGGAAGTGTCGTTCATGTTATTTCTTTTAGTAAGTAACATCAACGTGGACCTTCTGCTTACCAAGGAAGTGCTCTTCTGCTGAACATTGATTTCACACACAATGGCTGCTGATTTCAGACACAATGGCTGCTGAAGTAATTCTTGTGAGGAAGGCCACCTCCTTTCCCAACACCATGTCATTATACTTGAGCTAGCAGAAGTCTATATTGCCATAAAATTTGCTGTCCTTATCACCAATCCTATTTCTATTGTTTCTGTCCTGACACCTTGGCCAACAGATCTGTCCTGATGATGTGTCTCCAGTGTTTCTTAAATGAAGCAATTGGTTAAGTCCTTTGGCTTTGCTATTCTCTCTCTTCTAAACAGAGTGCCTTTGGTAGATGGGCAGCTATATGTTTGTTTAATAAATAAATAGACAAACATCAGCAGGCAGGGGAAGGAAAAAATCATTTCTGAAACACAGTACTGCTGCAGCAGAAATGGGACGAGTCAGACTGTACGCTGCCAATCACTATTTTTTTAAAATATATTTATCTGATTTTTTTTAGACACCCAATTCCAGTGGATTTTTTGTTCCTTCCTAATTCTCCACTCCTATATTCCATTCTCTATTAATCTAGATTGAATAATCCTTTGTTTTTTTTAAAAAATATGCTTTATTATGCCATTACTCTTCTGAACACCTAATTCTCACAATGCTTTCTTATGTCTATGTGCATTTTACCCACATAGTATGGCTGTAGCTATATTAGTTATCATTATTATATTCTCACTGTTAGTTCTCATTGTTTGATTTTATTATCCTGGTTTATTATAATATCAAATAATCCTGATTTACTGGGAGTCAGGTATTCTTTCAGTTCACATTCACATATAAATAAATAATTCTGATGCAGAGTTGCTAAATTCTAATTGATCGCCAGATTAGTCAGAGTTGTTAAGAGTTTGCTATATGTCTATGGAGAGTCTCGGTCATCCAGGTCATGGTTGTCCCAAAGGTGCTTTTTCAAGAGGCAACTGGACTTTCTGGTTTTCTGTATGGCCATCTAGTGGTTGCCTGGATTTTTGCAGTCTAGATTATAATAGTCATGATGAAGCCCACAGTGTAGCCCGTTGTCCACCTCAAGCTTGTCAAACATTTACTGCCCTCTGTTAACTTTATATTTTGCAGATTTTTTTCCCAGATCATCTGGTATCCCTCTCAAATGAGAGCAATGGCACAACGAACCACGCACAGATACTGCAGGTAAGAGACTGAAATGAAATCATTTACCCGTGGATCAAACCACAAATTCCATTAAGCACTGCTGAGCACATTCTCACTTCTGTGCAAAGTAGTAAGAATTGGGGATCCCATGCAATTTTTCCCTCTGAAGCATCCTTAGTTGAGATTGCATCCCTTGTGGCTGACCTTTATGGTGCTGTAATCCACATGTCTCATTAAAACAGTGGGGGCAGGTGGGAAATCATCATCAGCCACTTTGCTGATCCCTCTTCATTCCAGTTGATTTTAAACAGACTAAACGTACAGATTCTACCAACACTTCCCGATGATTCAGTTCTGAATATTGAACTGAATATTGAATATCACTCAAGTCCAAAAGTGATTTGTGCATTTCTCCAGTCAATAGCTTCTCCTTAAGATCACCACTCTTCCCCCTGCTGCTGAAACTACTCAGGAGCCTTTGGCCAAAGTTAATTGAGTATTCCAATTCTTCAGGACTTGTCCAGTCATCTCTGTCTGCGTGTTTTTGATACCATAAGACAGTTTAGAGATTTAACCCAGAGGATCATTGGTTGCCCTCTCCCCTCTTTGGAAGAGCTTTATAGCTCCCGCTGCCTTAAGAAAGTTCAAAACATTCTTAAAGATCCATCACATCCTGGGCAGGCTTTTTTTTGAACTATTACCATCTGGCAGATGGTGCAGGATAATAAAAACAAGGACAAATAGGCTGAAAAACAGCTTCTATCCCAGGGCAGTAACTATATTGAATTCTATGATATAGTCCAATATTAATGCGATATCGGTTTTCAATTCAATTGTATAGAATGTGAAGGATGTGAGTTTTGTGTTTTTATTTTTTTAGTTATAATGTGCACTGAGGACGTCATTTAATTTCATTGTATGTGGTGCAATGACAAACTAAACTAGATACCCCCGTACAATAAATATTTGCGATTAACTTAGACCTATCCATGATGAAGCCATGTTGGTTCTCATTTTTCTATGTTTGATTATTATCGATTTGAGACAAATTAATTGTCAGCTAATTGTCCTATAATTGCCAGTATCTCCTCTTAGTTTCTCTTTTAGAAATTGGAGTCTCACTTATAATTTCCCAGTCTTTGGAAATAGATAGCGATCATATACAGATTGTGTATTTTTATCAGCAGGTCAGCAATTTCATGTAGTTCTTGGAATCCCTCAGGTGGATACCATCTGGCTTAAGATTTATTTATTCTTAAGGTGTCAGTTAGGTTTATAAGCGTCTCTTCCTTTTAATGAGGTCTCTCTGTGTAGTGTGTGTGTGTGTGTGCGCGCGTGAGTGCACGCGTGTATATGTGCATCCATACATTTGTGTAGCAAAGAAAAAGTGAGCCTAGAGAAAAAGTATGGCCTTCTCACCTAACTGTTCTATCAGATAATGTTAAATGTAATAATAGCCTGCCATCTGCAAAAAGGTATTGAAGAAATTATAGCTGGTTGGTTGAATTGTGAATAATATTGGATGAGACAACTGAGCAGAATTCCAGTCCCAGCTGTGAAAAATCTTGTGCTAATTATAAGCACTTTGTTGAAGATAAGGGGACTTTCTCCTGTAATAGGAAAAGTTGGCGGATCTTCTGAAAAATGTAAATAGCAACCCAAAGCAGCAATGATTGTAGAATAAGGTGAACTTACTATGGAGTTATCTTGAACACACTTAGCATTTACAGCACTTAGCATTTTAAGAAAGTTGTAGATCTTTCAACAATATATGTAATATGCAGAAGCTCATTGTACAATGTCCTGAGCAAATGCTAAAGCAATGCTAGAATTCTTCATTGTCTACAAAGAACTGCAAGAGAACATTCCAATGGAATTTAAAGAAGTGGAGTTTCTCGCTTTCTTTTGCTATTCCCTCTCTTTCTCTCTCTTTTTCCAGATGTTTTTAAGTTCCACTGCATATCCTGAAATTCATGGTTATTTGCATTTTAAAGAGCAAGGGAAGAAAACCTGGAAAAAAATGTACTTTTTGTTGCGAAGATCTGGTCTGTATTTTTCCACTAAGGGAACATCGAAGGTAAGTTTGGCAAATGAAAAGGAAGAAGTGGTTAGAAATTGGTATATATTTTATTTTTATACAATAGGTGGGTGTTCTGACCCCCCCCTTCTCCGTCCAGGAACGAAAGCCGAGACAAACGTAAATAAGAATACTTTTAATCAGTCCAGACTCTCGTTGGCTGCAAGCCCAAAATAAACAAAGAGATAAACACTCTGGCAGCAAATCCTACAAACCTAGGCCAATGCAAACAAGCAAACCAATTCTCCAAGTTGGCTTCTCCTAATCGTGAACGTTGACTTCTGCAAAAGGGCGTAGCACAAGCAGTCTCTTTTATAATCAGGAGAGGATCTTAATAAGCATCAGCTGAGCGTAATCATCTCATATAATTACGCAGTTGTTCTTGCCGCCGAGTAGCTCTTCGATGGCGTGCATCCTGAAACAACTCACAAGTGTTTTCCTGATTACTCCCTCTGATCACTCCCTCTGATCCAACTGGTGGCCAACTAGTCTCTCCTCGCCCTGCTCGGAGTCGGCCCCCAGTCCAGAGTCCTCCACCTCCTCCAAGGCCGACTCATAAGACCCCTCGCTGTCGGAGTCTGGCGGCAGCTCCAACGGCGCCTGCCAGGCCACAACAGGTGGGCAGATGGGCAGAGACTGTTTTTTTATGGTTGCCTGGAAAGCATCTTTCTGACATGCTTTCAGTTTAAAGCAAGTTATTAAAATGCGGAATCTGTAAAATTATTTGGCAGGCAAAATGTTATTTTGTGCTGAGGTGGTGTTAGATTCATAAAGTAAGCATAATAATAAATTATTGCCATACATACTATATGTATTTCAGTGCAGCAATAAGATTTCTTTTT